AATGAAAAGATAAGTGCAGAGCATCTAATACAAAGTTGCAAACCAGCAATATAAACTGAGAAGGTTCGATGCTTTGGTCCCCAGTTTACCACCAAATCTTCAGTAGTTTCTTGAAACAATGCTGAAATATATTTGGTCATCACACACGTCAAAGATATTATTATCTAATTTATAAATCATTCTAGGCTGCCTAGCGTCAGTAATGACCATTTATGGTTGTAATGGTATGCCAATACAATACACCTAATCCAATCATATCTAGATCCAAAACAGAAGTTCTCAACTAAATGTGTCAAAGCTTATGTACCACCATTTCAAATAGCCAAAAGGCCAAGCAGAGTTGACACGATTTTATTTTTTTTTATTTTTTGTATAGATCAACAATCTTGTTTTGAATTTCGGTGAACAATTTGAAACTTTGGATCAATATCGGTTCAAAGACCAATACGTTTTTTTTGGAGGTCAAAACCCGACTAAGGTGGTTCGGATTTTTGGTGTTTCATCTTAATTTACTTATTAGATTTCCTTTTCTTGTTTACCTTTTACTGTTAAGTTGTGTTAAGTGATGTTAGCCGTCGCGGCACCAACATTTAAAAATGTACTAAGAATGTGAGTGTGCAATGTGGCCAAATTTTAAATTTATAAAAGCTACTACTACCTCTAACTAAAAATATAGTTAGGGTGAGTAGGGATCGTCCCAAGGGATTGTGGGCATGTTTGCAATGAAAACAATGTATAGGGTTAGTAGGTCGAATAATCAAAAGGTTGGTTTGTTTGGTTGATTAAATTACAATGGAATTGAAATTAAAGCAAGTAAAAGATAACAATTTAGAAAGTAGAGAAAAATATATAGAAGAGAGGATTTGGGGTACTAGAGTTCACCACTAAGCTTGACTTCACTAGACACTAGCAATTGTATATCAATGGGGAAATTGAATTGTAACTTGTGTATGTGTGTGTGTGTGTGTGTGTGTCATTAATTGAAACTAAGTATGGATGGCAAATAAGTATAGATTGTCTAACCAATTCAAATGGATAGCACAACCTATTAAATGAGACCAAAATCCATTCAATGAAACCACAATTTATGCACACACAACTATCTAAAAACATATACTATTTGCATTCATAAGTATGGAATACCAAGGAACAAGAATAGATTGTCCACCTATTTATGAATCTAAAGCAACTACACTACATCTACACTAAAGAGATGAAAATTAAACTAAGTAAGCTAAAGATGTGGCACAATCCAACAAGAAACAAGTGTGAACCATCAAATAAATTACAAGAGTGTTCAATTAAGCACTATGTTTTGATTTACACTAGATTAACTTCATCCATACACATAGACATGCATAAATTCCATTAAATCTAGAGAAAAGCACATGAATCATCCATTCTAGCATACATAAACATATGATTAGAAATAGATAATCAATTGAAAGCATTAATCCATACACATCAAGTAGAAATCACAAGATATATATATAAATCCAAGATAAAAACATTTGTTACAAGTAAATCCCCCAAAATATACAAAGCACCAAGTCTAGGAAGCAAACTTAGAGGCTACTCTAGCCCTAAGTAGATGTCTAGCCACTCATTGATGTAATCATCCAACCCTCAAGGGCTATCTCCGTGGTAGGAATGACCTCCTTCTTGATGGAAATTCTAGAAGAATGGAAAAATTCCAAAAGATGTGTAAAAGCTCTCTAGTCTCTAACTTTCTCTCCAAGATATGAAATATGATATCAAGATATGAAGATATGTTGAATGTTTAAGATATGTGTAAAAATGGCTCAAAATTTTTATATAGGAGGCTCAAATGTCACACATAATGGTCTGGATTCGTGCACTAGGGTCCTTGCAATGATTTCACCATGAGCTAACTTTTAATGAGCTGGAATTTGTTTTAATTCGGACTTAAGGAGGTTCGATCGATCGAACATTGGTGAGATCCATTGAATGCTGCAGAGATCGATCATCCTTGGCGGCTCCTTTTTTAATAAAGACAAATCTCTGAGATATTTTGGGAAAGAGACAAGAGTGGTTGGTGGGGTGGTAGGTGTGGATAAGATCGAATAATTTCGATCGATCTAAGAAAGGTTGGATCGATCGAAGATGGTGAGATCTTTTGGATAAGGACAATTGCTTGGATCCATCTTGATGAGGCTAGATCAATCACCTCCAAATTGATCGAAGAATTGTTGAGATTGATCGAAGATGCTAATTTTCCGCCACTTTGCTTCTACTTTGTTCCTTTCTTCCATTCAGCTTGAGATTACTTCTTTTAAGCTCTTATTTGGCTAAATTAACTTATTTTTGGGATAAGTGCCTGAAAAGGGCAATAATATGAAATTAGTCTAAGACGGAAAAATAAGATATATAAAGGTCCTAAAATACCTAAACTTAAGGGGTTTAAATGTGCACTTTTTAACGGTCATCAAATGAAATGTGTTTTTATAGGGGTATATGCAAATGATCAAATTCTTAATTTACTTATTAAATGTGTTTTATCTTAATTTACTTATAAGGTATATGTTTGTCAAGTTCTTAAACTAGTAAAAATGATCAAATCAATCTAGTTGTCGAGTGGTGACAGATTCCTTGCATTGAATCAAGTTCTGTCGATAGTTATCTAGTAGTGTAGCACTTCCATAACAGTGAAGTCATGTCTGCTTTCTCTTTATCCTTCTTCCTTTCCTTTCCTCTCCCCCAGAATTTCTTTTTTTTTTTTAAATTCTGCGTGTCTATCTGTCTATAGTTCATTCTCTCAACCCAAGTTGAACAGACGAAGAAGTGTGACTATGTTTTTTCGTCTGATTTTGATCAGTACTTCATATGTTCGTGTTATTTCATTTCATGCAATCCTAGTATTAAATTGACAGACTGATTCAACACATTAGAAATAAGTGGGCATAGGTAGAGTGGTCGGTTGGTCCTTTGGGGAGCGAATAAAATGGATGTCTTGTTGCAATTGGGAGAGTTTACTTTTCAGTTTCTTATTTCTTATTGTTACCACCTTTCATTACTACAAAAGAGTGGGGAAGGGGTTGAGTATTTGGCTACCTTGATATGACCCTAGACGGATAGCTATTCATTGGACTAATAACTACTCAGAATTAATGAATGGAAGAAACTAAGACGTACCATTGAATTCTCAACCATAATGTTTGCATTGCACTCTTTCTTCTTTTAACTGGTGATCAATAAACTAAAGCTTAGTACGCATGGAATTAGAGAAAAGCAACTTAAAAAATTAAATTAAAATTTTCACCATTTCTATCAATTCCAATTTTCCAAACACAACGCAAGCATATTCAATACGAGGTTATAATATTTAGTATGAAGTTGTGAGGGGTTTGTACTTTGTATTGGTTACTGTTTGTATAATACTGCAACCCTCAGCATTTTTTTCATTTTGACTCTATTAATCTGGGCAGATACCATTGTTTGAATATATATAAATGAACACACAATCACAATATTGCCCTTAACTGGATTGAACACTCAAACCTCCCTTTAAAACCGCATGTGAAGGAAATTTGTTCCTCAATCTCACTCCTAATACATTTCTTGATGCACTTATTCCAAGTCAATAGCATCATCAAACACTGTTATATGGTAGCATGTTCTTCCACACCATGGCAGTGCTGGGTATAAGTTGAGCCATCTGATCTTTTGTTGCGTGACAATGACAATTCATTGAAGAATTTGTGAATCTGAATAATTAGTTAAAAAATAATAATAATAATAATAAATGCAGATATATCAAAAGGTATTAATCAAAAATCTTTTTTTTTTTTTTTTTTTTTTTTGACTTACAGGATGTTGACACCGGAGAGTATTTAACAGAATCGTGGTAGGAGAATTTTTGTGACTACTAGTATTTGTTTTTGTTTTCTAGGTAATTGTTACTTTTGGACGGCATTCAAAATTACAAATGTGGCTTCAATTATCCATATGTTGGTGGATTCTTCTTTTATTTTGTGGTTATATGTTATTCTTGTTATTAATATTTAAATTTAATAACCCAAATAAATTGAAAATTGAATATACTTTGTTTGTTAGGAGTGAAGCATGATGGAGAGGGATGGAACATTTCTCTACCATTTAGTTGGAGGAAAGGAAAGGAAATAACATGTCCACCATTTTGCTTCCATACAAAAGTGTAGAGAGAAAAGTAAAACTTTGCCCCTAATAAATAAAAATATTAAAGTATATCAGAAAAATAATAATTACAAACGACATCTGGTTCACAGCAAAAGGTTTCATCCCTCGGAGAGCAAGTTTAAAAATGAAGGTACGGTTAGATGGCCGTTGCGATTGTGAATCATACATGGTATCACTTTCTCCTAATCCTAACCAACCACCAACAAAATCAGTTAAAGGAAGTTACAAGGCAAGTGTTAGTGTTAATATACCTCCAACACTTCCCAACCATTTTTTCTACCCAACTTCCAGTACCTGTTTGCTTTGTGCTTTTAATTTCAAAACCGCCTAAATTTGGGACAAATTTCAACCAAAATTAATTATGAGGTAGTATTTCACAATCAATCAAAGTGGTAAATGCATGCATTTGCCAAGAGAATGGCAAGACCACCGCATTTAATCACTTCACTGCCAAAAAAAAAAAAAAAAATGACAAAACTGTATAGCCCAACGTCTTTATGTTCTTTAATATAAAACCCATATCCGTGTTTTTTTCCATGCCCAATGCCCATTTTGGTATAATAAATCAACTATATTTCTAAGCATTGCAATTCAATTACCATATAAAACAAAGACCAAATTTTCCCCCTAAAATAAATAATTTAAAACAAAAATTCCAAATTAGTTATTTGTTCATTGACTGTTTATATATCAGATGTGATTGTTTCAAATACTATTTGCTTGAACCCGGTCACACACACATAATAGAGTGACACTGCATGGTGCACAGACAAAAGCCAATGGCGTGGTTCATGGATCAATCTTGTGACTTGCTTTGCTAACCATTTGGAATAAAAAGTAAATTCAATAAAATCAGCAAGAAAAACTCGCAAATAGTAATATTAACTTAACTTGGATTGAAATTCAAAATATTCAAAGTGATTTTTCTCATATTTTCTTTGCATTTCTTGTTCCCTAAAAACTGGTAATTGAGGAGGATTACGGAGTCCTCCGCTCCAAAATATAGATAAAACTTCCCCACCTTCTCATCACCTCTCTTGTTCGATTTCAATCTCTCTGTACATTGCTAAAATTTATTTTTTTTGGCATTTTGAAACCGAAGCAGAGAATAGAGAGAGAAAGTAACAAAGATGGTTTCTTTCTCATTATCCCAGATTTATCTCCGATTTATTGTGATTGAACTTGATCAATCACTGGCATCATCAGATCACTCGATCTTACTGATTCCGATACGCTTCACGGCGGCGTTCATAAACCTTTCAGCAACAGCCTGCTGTATACACATCCCACTCTGCTGCTGTTCAAGCCCAGCCATGTAGTTCCTCACCTCCGTCTTTATCATATCTTGCATCACCGCCAGGAACTCCTTACTGAACGGCACAAACACATTCTCCGACTCCTGCGGCGACGGCGACGGCACCTCCGCCGCCGGTATTCCGCCATATCGCTTCTCCGAAACAGATATCGGCATCCTCGGAGATGACGATATGAAGTCCATACTCTGATTCTGCTGGTTCACCGGATCCATTTGCATCATCACCACCGTGGTCGGAGGTTGTGGCGGCGGTGGTGGTGTCATCACCGGAAGTAAATGAATCGGGTTTGTGGATTGATTCGATTCCTTAGCGCGATCTGAAACCTCGCCTGAATCGACTCCGGGAAGCGAAAGGCTCAGAGAAGTCGGTGGATCGTTGGCCGGCGACGACGCCGTTTCGATCTGTGGTGGCAAAACACCCCCTGTTCTGGCCACGGGTCGGTATATGTGAGCCGAACACGGAACCGGAAGGCTCGATTCGCTAACATCCGACCCGGAAGGACTACCCGGGCTGAAATACAGACCCGAAATTGGCACGGCTGAACCCGCACTGACCGATCTCTTCAATGGCTGCTGATTTAAGTACTCAACACCGCCTTCGTCGGCACACATCGACGAGCACTTCCTCTTGAGGGTGGAGTTCCAGTGGTTCTTTATGGCGTTGTCGGTTCGACCAGAGAGGAGGCGGGCTATGGTAGCCCATTTGTTGCCGAACCTGGCATGGGCTCGAATGATCGTGTCGTCTTCTTCGGGAGTGAAGGCGCGATGTTCCACCTGTGGAGAGAGCTGGTTACACCATCGTAACCGGCAAGACTTACCAGATCTACCGGGTATGGCCTTGCTTATAAGGGACCAGTTTCGAGGTCCGTGTTGTTGAACTAGGTTCTGTAACATATCGTCCTCCTCGGGACTCCATGGACCTTTGATCCGATCTACATCTTTCTTCGTTGACGCCATTTTTGTTTCAGATGAGCATGTAAAGGTTGGTTTTTTATTGGTTTTGGTTTGAGAGAGAGATATAGAGAGATGGTGGTGTGAAAATGTGGGGTTAAATATGAGAAGAGAAACGAAGAGGGAAGAGAGTGGGGGGTTATATAAAGGAAAGAGATAGGGATGACCGGTTGAGGTGGTGGTGGGCGTTTTGGTCACCGCCTCTTCCAGGCAATGGGTTTGTTTGTTTAGGGCTTTTGGGATACAGCTGTGAAAAGGTACACGCGTCGCTTCCATTTCACTTTCTTTTTCATCTACGCTCCTCACGCTCCTAATTTTTGTTTGGGTTGGGAACTTCGGTTTCAACTGGGTTCGGGTCTCTGATCCAACCCCATATTATATATAATGGGAAGTTGGTACTTGGAACTGTATGTCGTATAAAAATTTTTTAAGGACGGAAAAATTCAGTATTAAGGTATATTAGTCATTTATTGCCACATCAGACAGTATAACGTTTTCATGCAGTATAGATATTTTTCATTTTGCAAACTTTTTTTTTAATGTTCATGATCTACATAATTAGATTGTATCCACACATCATCAAACCTCTTTCTGGAGTTGATGTAAGATTTATACCCAAAAAAAAATGTGTATTTTTCGTTTGTTTTAATATAAATATCTTCCTCAAAAAAATATATAATGTAAAACATTTTCACGTAAAATATCTTTTCTATTTTTATTTTTTCATATTTGGAGAAGGTCCTCAAAATAATATCAAAAGAAAATCAAAAAAAAAAAAATTTGTTAGGTTTTGGTAAAATATTTACTTAAATTCTGGACAATCAAATATTAAAAATTAAAATATATATATTTTTAAAAATATATTTAACATTCAAACAAATCGTGCCTTAATTTTTTTAAAAAAGTACATCTATAATCTCCCCATTAATCTAAACCTTTTGTATTTTTATATCTAAGATATGTTAAATTATTAAATATTTTAATATATATATATATATATTAAAAACATAGTAAATAGGTGGGTGTGTTTATTTATTTTTTTTTTTTTAAAAAAAAATTGCTTTTTATTTTTCAAAGACAATTAAAATTAGTTAAAGTAAAAGTCCAAAAGAGCAAAGGGTAATAAATACATACACCCCGTACACATTTTCAATTCCTGAAAAGTATATAATTAGAATAGTGAAATGAAAAGAAGTTATTTGGATAGAGAGAGTGAACCACCCATCAGTGTCTCTTAAATCCAACCCAACCCGACGAGGAGCTGAGGAAGTGAGTGAGGTTTGTAAAAAAACACGCTAGGAGAGACTAATTGAAAGATGTTCCAACTGAAATAATCCCCACTAGAATTAATTAACGGTTGAGAAGTGGGGTAGGATTGAGTGCTTTGACTGAGACAAACTGACGGAGCCAACCTGGACCGCATTTTATCTTTCCGTGTGAGATTGAGAGATATTTCAAATCTTTTTTTCTTTTTCTTTTTTTTAATAATATCAAGAAATAACGGCCGCACGGAAATGGTGAGGTGGCAGAAAACGACAAGATTGGTCGCCGAATCGGAAGGCGAATCATTACTGCTTTCTTGTCAGTCCAGGCTGTATTCAACCCCAACGGCCCTGCCTGCAACCGACACCTGCCGGTCACCCCCACTCCCCTCCCCACCCTCTTGTACCTTAACCTGTACGGATCAAGCCAACCCCAACCCTTCACACTTCCCCAAGCATGGGGTACCTTCCTCTCACCTTCCTCTCTTTTTTAATTAATTTAATCGTCCTTTAATATTTAATTACCATACTCTATTATTATATTATGGAGTAACTCTAATTATACTACATAAATAAGGTTGGGGACGGTGAGACTATTATTATTAGAGTGAAAGGGCATTGAATGAAATAGATATGATAAATAAGATACGTATCAATTTCTGTTACTCGTACGTCGTACCTAACACCTAATTGTCCTGTTGTTTGGTATTGCCTTGGGCGTGGACTAAGGACGGTGTTTTCGTAATTAACAATAACCAATTTATTCTTCGCACAATTATGGAATTCTGTTGTCTGATAATACACTCATCTCTTTTTTCGGGTCTAATAATACACATGCATACATATATATATATATATATATATATATATATATGTGTGTGCGTGTGTTAATTATTTTTTTAGCCACACAAATATGTGTTATCACTCACTCCAAACGAATAATTCAAACAAAAACATCAACAAACAAAGCTTTAAAACAAATTCTTATACATTTAAATTCTTCTAAGAGATCCATTCATTTGAAACAAACATGCACTCTCGTACCGAAATACATTATACAACCAAATAAAAAGGATGAAATAAATTAAATTAACATGAGATGACCAATTAAGAGAAATACTTAAATATTTTACCTTTATCATGATAAAATACAATACTCTTTCACAAATTTACAAAACCGAAATTAAATTGCTAATTTGAAAAAACAACAGGCATATTGAAATGCTATTATTGATCCATGAATAAATAATGATGATCTACACTATATTCTTTTATATAAACATAAAAATCCTAAAAATATAAGAAATTCTAAACAGATTAAAAATGATCCTCTTAAAAAAAAAAACAATAAGAGAGAAAATATGTCACTAAAATAAGATAATTATAAAAAATAATCTCAATCCAAAACCAATTGGACTACAAACAAAAACTTTGTAGTAAAATAAAGCAGTAAAGTATAATTTAAACGTAAAAAAAGAGAGTATGTAAATAAAAATATAAAAAGAAAAAACTAAAAGAGGTAAAAGTAATGTAAGAAAACGACAAAAAAGAAAGAGAGATATGAGAAGAAATCGTCCTTTAAAAGATATGCAACCGTTAGAAAGCCGACAGCTGTCGAATGGACAATCACTACTATACTCTCCCTTTCAATTTGAAAATTCGTTTTTATCTTTAACCGTTACAGCACGTGCAAAGAGAACATTGTCACGTGCTTCAGCTCCGTCTAAATGGAGACACACGTGCGTACTGCGTCCTCTTTTGCAGTAGCCTTATCCCACATGAATTAACAAATCTATCCCTGCATAGTTATCCACATGTCGCCAGAAATCCAAGGATATTAAAGTAATATTAAATGTGTGTTGACCGATATCTGTTTTAATGTACTAACTCCCCAACTTACGTTACAGTGAACGATCCTGGAGGTTTCTACGAAGCTGTTGTTGGCTATTAAAAATGAATGGAAAAGACCAAAATGACCAAAAAATTTACACTCGGCACCTAGAAAGTACATACTTTTACGCATGAGTCTGTACCTGTGTCGTATTAGTGTCGGGGACAAAAATATGTGTCCCACACTTTATATACGTATTTATAAATAAAAATTAATTTTATTATTTTGAACACTTTACTAACATTTTCGAGACACTTATCGGACATTTCTAATAAAATTCTACTTAATAATTTTAAAAATAATATGAATACTAACATGACAAAGTAATGAAAGAATGATATATATTATATAAAAATGATTAGAACAATGACATAATTTCATTTTCTAATTCAGAGCAATTATTAGTATAAAAATTATAAATGAATTAAAATTTTATAATACTATTACTGAATAGATGTATAATAATAAAAATATAATCGTGTTTATGCCGTATCAGCGTCCTACTTTTTTAATATTTGACGTACCGATATATTTGTGTCGTGTCATATCCATGCTACTTGGCACAATATAAATCTTCAATATAGTCCATCAATTTTTGTCTTAAATCTTTTTTTTCTCCTTAAAAATTGATTGGAAGAGAAAGACCCAAATGACTAGATAACAATCATAACACAAAAGAAAAATATATACATGGTTTGAATTCAAATATTAATTACTAATTAGTAAATTGACTTTTTTTTTTTTTCCTTCCGTTTTTTTTTTTTTTTTTTAACTTTACATATCATCGTTATAGTTTAAATGACACAGATTTTAAAATCCAAATGGTTAACAGAATCGTCACACATCAGAGTGTACTAGTAAATTTCTTTCTTTCAATTAGGACTTAAGCCTGCAACTCTCTTTTTCAAGACCAGATGAATAGATATGACTACTATTAATGTGCTCATAATTTCATTTAATTAAATCGGTATTGATCGAAGATAACTAGTAATTACTCTCAAATTAATATTAATTATAATAAGTTATACACGGTTAAAGAAGAACAAAATAAAAGACACAATTACTTATCAATTTCTAATTAATGGGATATTCCATCAATTTTATTGTTAAAACACGCAAAATAAATAAATAAATAAAAATAAAAAATAAAAATCTCCAAATTGGAACTCAGATCAATCAGCAACATTTCATTAAATTTTACCTATGTTTACATTCTATAAAATCGTTTTCGTATCTATGAAGAAATAATATACAAGTATTATAGCATTTTAAATTATATGTATATTTTTGTATCTCACCCCTAAGCAGTTGTAACTTTATTTATGTCCTAGTTATTTATCCCAAAGATTTCGGTATAGCTTCAAGCAAAACCACATTAAATACACACGCATGGTACTGTATTTCTCATTTATTGTATTGTATTAATAATATTTAATTTGTGTATAATAACAAAAAAATTGAAGTTTGTAGTATTCAATCTTATAATTACGATGTACCAAATGCAAATACGAAAAATTGTATTCTAGCATGTTGTATAGGAATAATATCAAGAAGTTTGGATATATGAATGAAAATTGAAAATATTTGTTTTTTGGGAAGCAAAATAAAAATATTTCTAATAGGAGTTCATGAAAGAAAATAGGATTATAAATCATATGATTTAAACTCTTCATTTTAGAAGGGAATAAAAATATTTATTAAAAACTATAATATTGTGAGAATAAAGTTGCACACAACATATTTAAGATGAATCAGATTCAATTTACTATTTACTCGTAAATAAATTGGATGCCATGCGACTTGTAATAGAATTCATGAATGACATATTTTAACTAACAAATAAGATTGGACGGTTATAAGTTATAACTTATAAGTTATATAATAGTCAACTTTAACACTACCTTAGTATATAATACTACAAATATATTCATTTTTTAAGTTTTTGATGATTCGGAAAAAAAATGGGTTCGGATTGTTCCGACCCAGAGTCTCTCTCATGAATTATTGGTAGAATATTTGGCACACGTGAAAAACAAGTCTTTATTTTCTTTTTATCTTTT